TATAAGGTCCGCTGAGATCCGCGTTCAGCACCGCGGCATCCGGGTAGGTAACGCGGCAATGCCTCTTCCCCCGCGCCGAGGCTTCCTGACATACCCGGCAGTCCCTCCGAAAAGGCACATGTCCATGCCGGACATGCTCCACCCAGCTGAGCTTCTTGATGTGAGCCGGTTTCCCAAACACCTCCTCCTGGATTGCCCGGGCCACCTAGCTTCCCACTGCCACTGCTCCTCTCGTAGTTGCCGAAGACGACCTCCGAGGTGGAAGCTCCACATTCAAGTCCGTGACCACCATCGTGGGCTTCACTGCCACCCCGCCGTAGTCCCCCTGTCTGAAGCAATGCTCCACGAAACCATGCTGGTCCCTGAAGTTCCGGTAGTTGTCCGTCCTCCACCATGACCCACACTCCGGCATGTAGTCCGGCGCTTCCGGCTGTTCCAGCAAGAAGGTCACTCTCGCCCTCGTTGATCCCTTTCTGCTGTTCTCCCTTCTCGCAGCCTCCGCCACGCAGAAGATCATGATCATGCGGTAGAGGAGTACGTCGTCCTCCCATACCTGCTTCTTCTCCTCCTCATCGAGCCCCGGAAGACCAAACCAATCTTCAGGAGTGACTCCTCTCACCGGGCGAGGCCTGCCTGCGGGCAACGGGTAATGTCGCAGCACGCTTCTTGTCCGGCAGTTTGGTCCGCCCACCACTCCCAAGATGTAGCCGTCCATAGCCGCTCTCAACAGTGACGCATAGAGGGGCCCATCTATCATGTCGTGCTCCTGGCCTCTCTTCAAGTCCACCTCCACCAATCGGGTTGTGTCACCGCCCACCTCCTTGAGCGCTCTCTGCAAGGTGTAGCCGTCCTTCTCACCCGCATACAAGTGGAGTACAAACCCCTTCTCCAACGTCCTCCTTCTGCTCCGGTTCAGCGGGATGCCTCTTAGGTTGTCCGCCGGCTTTTCGACCACCTTCTCCATGATCTTTTCCGGGACGCCCCAAAAGACCTTTTCCTTCTCCGCCAAACCGCTCAGCTCCGTTTCCTCGTGCCTTGCCAGCCTGACCCTGGCTCCCGAGATCTCCGTCTGCTCCAACATGTCGATGAAGCACAGCGCCAGCTCTCGGTCAATCTCCGGGCATCCAGCATTCATCCAAACCGGGATGTCACCCAGAGCCGGATGTCTCACCTTGCAGGATCCCATAATACTCCACTTGATTTCACAGCCGAGCTTGTTGACCATCAAGCCCAGCGGTACGATCGGCTGCACCTGGGGTCGTCATGAACGATGACCTTGCCCTTCGTCATCCTCAGCTCCTGTTTCTGACCTCCGGCCAGCTCCACCTGGATGACCTCCAGGTCTTCCAACTCCTCTCCCTCTTGCAAGCCCCTCATGGCGTGGGTGGCTCCCGAATCCAGCAACCCCCTCTCATTCTGGAAGTTGATCTTCGAGACCTTCACCTCTTCGAACTTTCGCAACTTCATGTCGTCCAGCTGCTTCTGGATGTCCTCCAGTCGGGCTTCCCGCCCTGTCTTCTTCGGTGGGGTCGTCACCGTCAAAGAGCGAAGCATCTTCCCGGCCTCCTCCAACACATTCTGCAAGGCTTCTGCATCCCCCTTCTCCTTCTGAGTAGGCGATGTCCCCTCCGTGTTGGTTGCTCCTCTCGGCGTCTCACCCTTCTCGCAAACCGACGTCGCCCCCTCCTCCGTCTCCATCTTCGCAACCTTTGGAGACGACGGCTTCGCATCCTTCTTGTAGTCCTCGACGACCTTCCTTGGGCAGTCCTTGGCGTAGTGATTGACCGCTCCACACCCATAGCACCGAGCTCGCCCATCTCGCGCATCATGGCCAAATGTGCATTGACTCCCACGGCGGCATCCCATGTCCGTCAGGAAGAAGCGACAGGGTTTCTTCTCCTTCGTCGTCTCCTCCTTGCCGTTGGGCTTGTCTTCCGCATAGGTGCCTTCGATCTTCTTGGCTCTCGCCTCCCCGGGACTGACCTTCTTTTCCGTATGCACCAGCTGCTCCAGCTCCGACAGCAAGTGCTCGCAGTAGACGCCAACCGTGCTGTGGGTCGGAACCGTGTCCACCTGTAGCTGCGACTTTGCCAGGCTTATCTTGAAGCTAAGGTCCCGGTTGCCCTCCAGCACCTTCCGAACCAGACGATGAAGCCCTCGATTGAGGACCGAGGGATCCGGCAAGGACACCCCGATCTCCTCCGCCCGCCGCTTCCAGCGAAGCCACCTTCTGATGCCCGTCACCGCCGCCTGGATATTGTTCGCCTCCAGAGGCTGCTCCAAGTTCCTCAGGATCGCGCCTCGCTCTGCGATACCACCCGGCTGGTACATCATCATCAGCTTGCAAACCAGCGACAGGGCGTTCAGGCTCTTCGTCGCCACCAATTCATCCTTGACCTGGTCGGGCACCGCCTTCACCAGCAGCGTGACCGCCTTCCTTTCCACTCTTCTCCACTTGGGGCTCTCCGACTCTCCCTTCGTAGGGACCATCGCCAGCCTCTTCAACGGCGCCTCCTGCATGTACTTATCGTACCACGCCTTTGCCTCCTGCAACACGAGCTCCCACCATTCCTGGCTGGTCTCCGAGATGTCCGCCATCGCCGGGGTAATCAGCGTCAGCCAGTCCTGCAGGTCGATTGAACTCGTCTCCGCGCATAGCTCTGCCAGCACCGGCAGCTCGATCGCTCCGGCCTTCACCACCTCCACCTGATCATCATCTTTGCCCTTGGCACCGCTGACCAGCGTCTTCTGGATTTGTTGCATGCCCTCCATGAGCTTCAGAATGATCGCAAGGTGGTCTGGATTAGCTTTCTCCTCGTCCCGAATCATTTCCTCCGAGGATTCCGGCTTGTGGTTGTCCGCGTCCTTCACGCTGGGGTGATCCGGAGTCACATAGGTCTCCCCCGAGCCCGTGGCCGCCTTGAGCTTGCTGTTCTCCTCCTGCAACCGTTGGATCTCCTTGATGAGGTAGTCCTGGTTCCCTTGCCCTGGGTCTTGCTGTGGACCGTCTCCATCTGGTGCCCGATGAAGTCTCTCCTGGTCCAAAAATCCAGGTCTCACCAGCTGAAGTTCCGGCTCCTCCTTCGCCTTCCCCAGGTTCACCAATCCTCCCGGCTTATCCCACCGCTGCAGGTAGTCCAGCTGTTCCTTAGTGAAGAGCGGACCATAGGCTTGCGGTGACCCACTCGGACCACCTCTCCATTGCCGATCTCCTTGTTCCTCTCCAGGTTGATGCTCTTCTCCCGCCACCACCGGAGATGCCCACGGGTTTCTCGACGCCGTAGACCAAAGTCTCCTTGGCACCATCACCGTGCTCGGGGTTTCTGTTCCTTCTCCAGCGCCACCATCCGCAGCGCCATCAACACTTGCAGCTCCTCCTTGTCCTCCCGCAGGCGCCTTCCGAGTCGACCTCGGCCCGCTGCCTGAGCTGCCCTTTCCACTCCCCTGAACCGTCTCCTGGCCCACCAACGCCAGCTCCTGGCCGATCAGCTCAAGGCCCGGTGCCGGCTCCACCAGTGCCAGGGCCTCTTGCTGACTGCCCTGGCCTGACTCCCCCACCTGACGGTCTTCCTCCTCCTGTAGAAGGTCTCCTTCAGGCCCTTGCCCTCCGTCTCCACGAAGGTGTGCGCTTCTTCGCGCTCGCATGGCTTTAGGGTTTTGGGCTCATAACCTGCTAATCTGCAGGGGCCTTTTTATCTTGATATTCAAAGGGCTTCGGTCGAATCCATGCCCTGCACAAACGGTTGGAGATCTTGTCAATAATAATAATAATACATATATATATATATATATATATAAAAATATAAACATATGTATATATATATATATATATATACCGATATAATCAGATTTCTTCTTTTTTGGCGTCTCTGGAATCGTACCTCACTGTCTCCCAGCCCTTGCTACTCTCACTCCAATGCTCATCGTGGGTTGATTCTCCATGGAAGCCAGCGGCAAATGGGTGGCTCGTCGGTTTTTTTGGAGTGGTGGTTCGGGTTTGGTTTTTGAGGGTTGACGACCCGTTTTTGGATGGTTGAAAGGGAAGCCGAAAGGAACAACCATTCTGGGTTTGCAACATGGACACCAGCAGGAATATCTACAAGAAATTGGATTTCCTAGTACACCACAAACAACTGGATTTCCGGCAGAATCCCTTTTAACGGGTTTCTATGAGTCTCTTACTCATTTTGCTTCGGCGCGTCCGGAATGACAAGAACACTCGTTGTTTCCTATTTGCAATCTCTACTGACCTCGCGAGTCTCTCAGAGGATACATTTGTGTGTGTGTTCTTTTGGAAACCCCGGTTTTCTTTTGGTTTGGGAGGGAGAACAATTTTAGGGTTCCCGAATTTTATGACAAGTCCATTTGGGCCAGTTTAATTATCCGCTTCACCAGCTGGTTCAGAGGATCCAGATCCTCGTGAAGCGGTGAGTTTTTGGATGTATCCTTCGTCCCCTCTGTTGAAGGGACTCATTCCGAATGAGTTCCTGGCCTGGGGTTGTGCGTGTTTCTTTAATGAGGCGAAGGATGCCCTTGTTGGGGCTTGGTTCAGAGGGCTGGGCAGAAGGAAACCGCAACGCTTTCTGAGCATCCGTTTGGTGATGCACCAGTCAGCTCTGGTCAGCTCCGGGTTCCAAACATCGGTGTTTTTTTGCCACCAGTCAGCTGACATCCGTCGGTGCTACCTTCATATGCTACCATCTGTCTTGAACTGGGTGTCTCTACTGCAGAACGGCGTGGTTTTCCGAGCTTCCCTTTCAAACCGCCCCAAGAAAGGGGTACTTCTTCAAAAAGACACAAAAAAGGAAAAAGCAGGCAGGGGTGGGGGAGATCTGCCGGTTCAGGCGCCTCTGGATTTCTTAAAGAGTTGATAAAAACAAACTGGTGGGTTCCATTGAAGCGATCGCCACTTTAGGTTAAAAAAAAAGGAAGCAACGCAATCGAGGGCCCCCTGCCAATTCTCGGAAATTCTGGGTGCGCCGCGGCTAAAATCCCACGAGGCAGGCGAGGGCATTCAGTTCAAGCACGTCCGGCGGCTTCACTTGGTGGAGGTGCCAGCGAGGCAACCGGACGAATGGACGTGTGAGGGAACAACGGGAGCCCGGAACACCCTTAAAAACGGGTGGACACAAATCCAACCATTTTCCACAGGACGCCAAAGTGAAATCCATTGCCATTTGTGGAGCAAGCGATGGACATGTGAATCAACATGAGTTTATCTTCTTCCAACCATCGGCTTCATATTGGAGTAGTTTTGACGTCTAGCCAGTGCTTATGCATTTTGCTAAAAACGGCCAACTCTGTAAAACGCGTTTCCCAATAGCAAACCAAAAGGAGACGGACAAGTTGTTCCATGTAACACGACCCGTTTATGTGCATAAGCCAGTTACAAAGCAGGGTTTTTCATTTGCGCACGTGTCAACAAAAAGGGTACCCCTAAACTGGTCGGTTCTTTCTTGGTTTGGTACGTGTCAAAATACGGGTTTTCTCAAAAATGGTCGGTTCTTTCTTGGTTTCCCACTCCCCTCCCCGCCTTTTAAGGATACCGAGCCTCAAAAAATGGGTTGGTTGGTTGCTTGGTTTCTTGGTTGCTTGGTTGCTTGTTTGGTTGCGCTTCACCCAGGCCGCTCCGTCCCCCCGAAGCCTGGGGTGGGGGCCACGTGGCCAGCGCCAGGCACTCGGAGCTGGTGCAGCGCGCCTCGCGCTGCGTGCGGCTGGGCGGCCACGAGGCGCGGGGACCATTTTTCCAGCGGACAGGCGACCCCCCCCCATTTTGACACATACCCATGGGGTGTTTCTCAAAATGGAACCCTTGCTTCTTCTTCTTCTTCTTCTTTTTTTGAAAGGGACACCGCAAGATGCAAGATGCAATGCTTGGTCTACTTTCAAAAGCATGCTGATTCGGAGCCTCGCAGGAGCCGGCGCCGACGAGGTACTGTTCGTATCTAGAGACTATTGGGGCCCGGCCAGCTTCCATGGCTTCGCGGTCAATGAGCTCCACAAAAAGACCCATGGGAACATAGGATGGACGAAATCCTGCACAACTTGGAAGCCATGGGACACCATAGTTTATTGGTATTTACAGGGGATTCATCATTCCAGTGGTGCAGGATTTCGGCCATCCACAGTAGGATTGCGGACACTCCCCGTCGGCAAGCCGCCGGTAGCAGGTTTTGATTGTGACTCACGTGAGGTTTCAATCAACACATCCGGTCTATACGGTTCATTTGGGGTTTGATTTGGACATGGGTGGGCCGGGGGGGGGGGGGAAAGAAACAGCGTCCACAAAACCGGGAAATCGGACAACCTGATTTTCCATGTCCTTTGTGGGAACAGCATGTGGATGTGTCTTTTGTTGGGCCGTGTTCCTGTTGGATTCTCTTTTAAATCCACAAACAAACGGGCACCCTCAAGCAAGACACATCCACATCTTCTTGGATTGCCATGGAGCAGTTCGTCCGGGAACACGCCCGGAGGGAGCATTCCCCGCTGCAAATAGCCACGAGGGTGTGATATTGTTGATGGACGACATCCTGCAACACCAAAGAAACTTTGGAATGGTGATTCCCCTGCAAATACCAACAACAAACGATGGTTTCTCATGGTTTCAAAGTGGTGCAGGATTTCGCCCATCCACAGTATCAAGGTGATATCAAGGTCTGACCCTGGGAAACTGGGTCTTTGTCTTTGTGCAGCGGATGCCCTAAATTTGAAAGTAGGGAACAAGGAATGTTACCATGGGTCCTAGGGTTCAACCCGCATCAAAGGAGTTGTTGGCCCAACTTAGATGGTGACAATCCCGAGGTAAGCAATGTGGCGAACATTGACCCCCGCTGTTGGTTTGAATCCCACGGTGGGTCCATCTATTCTGGCATTCGGATCCGCTAACCACTCCGCCCCCATCCATCACCCCCCACTCCGCAGGGCCTCCCGCCGGAAGAAAGAGAATTGGCAACTGCCTTAGCGCCTTTTGTGGCCGTTGGGTGGATCGAGGAGTTCTCCAAATAGTTTTGGCAACCCCGGAGCTTGTTGGGTCCTGAAGCTGAGTCTGTTACAGAATGCTCGGGCCAGTGGAAAATCGTGTTTCTACCAGCATCCCCTTGTATTGTCTTGGTATCCAGGCGGATTTTGCATGTAGCTTTTTCGGCTCTGTGAAAATGTGAGCGCGTTGCGTTCTCGAAAGCCCTCCAACCCACCATGTAGAGGCTAATTTCGCACAATGGACAAAGTCTGTCCCCCTTTGGCCACACCAGAGCGCCGCCCACCTCCGTACTGCATGTTCCGAATCAAGCCAAGTTGGCCCAATTGCGGGTGCCACACAGAGGTGCGGTGCTGACTGGGTTCTTTGGCGTTTCGTTGAATAATGCCCCCTTCGAGCATGTGCCCCTGGAAACATTCGCACTGTCTTCCAGACACGTGACGGGATGGCTCATGAGCAAACAGTTTGTTGGGTTGAGGCAGGGTCCTTCGAAATGGGTTCGTGTGCTTGTGCAATATATCCTCCTTATCAGGAGCAAGAACCGCGGATTCAAGCCCCATTAACAGAATGGTTGCAGTTTAGACGATCCTTAAATAATGTCTCAATGTACTTTCCTGAGTCAAGTGGCCATGTAACTGGGAAGGGAGGGAAGATCAAGGCTTGCTGCATTGCTTGCATTTGCATAAGACGACCTTTGTGTTTTCCCTTGTTGGTTTTAAAGGGAACCTATCACTACTGGCCACATTGTCTCATTGCCCCCGTGGGCGAACAGTTCCAATGGAAGCAATGCTCCCAATAGTCCTCTCGATTCAAACTATCACCTTCGGCGATGTGAAGTGAGCTTCCTTTCGGTTCCGGATGTTTTTAGGGAGAGCAACTGGGTACAAATGCACCCCACCCCCCCACGAAAAAGACACACGTCTTTTTCCCTTTCCCTTTGCTTGTCCTTCCCCCAACCCCCAAAAACCCCCGCCCCCTCCAACCCCCAAGAAAAAACCGAAAAAGGCGGCTTGCCGTTCCCCGTGACTCTTCCATCCGTCGAGTCCGTGTCCCCAAGTTGAATCCGAAGCCGAAATTCAACCAATTCCTCCCAGCGGTCGGTAGAAGGTCGGGCGGCGAATTTTGGTTTGGAGTCAGGCCATCGAGCTGCACCTCACGCAGCTGCCGGCCTTCCTCCGGAAGGCCCTTCGGCCGGCCCTTCGGACGTGTGACGGGACGCCCCTTTTGAAAAGGGGGGGGGGTGTGGGGGGGGGGGCTTGGTGTCCCTGAGCACTGAAGGGAAAGAGGCACTAACTCACGTTTCGGGATATTTTTTGCCAAGGGGCCGTGGTTTCCTGAAGCCTTCAATGGATTTGTCGGTGCGCGAGGCCTTGGTGGTCGGTGGATCCAGAGTGCTTGCATCGGTTCTTATTGTTTGAGACCCTTGTCTGACAGGGAACCCCACCCAAGAACCGATTCCTATTAGCTGCTTTGCGTAGGTTCGGTTCGTACCTAGTTTTCATATAGGGTTTAGTAAGCGTAAGGCTTATCCTAGGGCTTCGCCATCACCAGCTGCGCTCATCCTCCCTCCCCCACTCAGCACCCACCCACCCACCTCACACCCCTCACTGCCCGCCCACCCTCCCTCCCGCCAACCCTTCCCACCATTCCCACCCACCCTAGCGGTATAATGTACGGGTAGGGTTGCCCTCGCTCTTCGAGCTCGAAGACACACGGCGCAGCTGGATTGTCCCTCCTTTTGCCCCCCTTTTAGTGGGTCTCACGCCTGATTTTTTAAGGACTTCCACCGACAAGTTGTTGAGATAGACCTGAGACTACTAGGGTACAGGCCCGTCGGTCAAGTTCGATTTGTATTAGGTTCGTTTCTCTGAGTGCCACAAAAGACAGAAAATAACCCGTCAGTCAACAACGGACACGTGTTTCCTGTACTGAAGCACTGGCGATGCAGGATGTGTCGACCAACAAGTGCAAATCGGTGTTTGGTGCACGGAAATTCGATGCCGTCCATTGACTTTGAAACCTTGAGTTTAAAGACCGTGACGTCTGCGCAAGTCATCGGAGAAGCATTTTCCTCACACAAGAACATTGGTGATGCTGGATGTGTTGACCACTTTGGTTCACCAGGGCGACATCTGCATCTAGGCGACCGACATACTGGCAGCGTTGACGAGTTTAGTCTTTTGTCTTGAGCAGTAGATGCTGGTGGTGTTGACACACATGCTATACTTGCTCCTGGCGAGTCATGCAAGTTTCAGACATTTTGTGTAAGTTTCATTGTTGATGCTGGGAAGATCCGGGAAAAAGGCGATCTTTCGCAACGATGAGGTGAATCCCCCTTGGGCACACCACCGAAAAAGTGGCGAGCAGTGCAGGAAATCTGCTTTCTTCCTTACATGGATACATATGTGGGGGTGTCTTTTGTTGAGGGTGCCATTTTTTTTGGTGGGTTTAAAGGAAAACCAACCGAGCATGCCCCATTTTAGGGTATTTAACCCTAATTTTGAGACACGTGGATGCAACTATTTCTATTTATATACAGAACATGAATCAAAGTAAACTCCCGTCTCGATTCTGAGCTCCTTCTTGTTCTTTCTTGGACATCGAACAAAATCAGCGCTGATTTCTTCCGTGCCATTCGTCAAGGTTTCTACTTGGATGTTCGGCCAAGTTCGCAAGTGGTTGGCCAAATGAGATATGACTGATATAACCCACCAGTGACTGGGTTAACCCCGCTCAAGGAGGCTTCTGAGTGGATGAAAACCTAGTTGCCAACAACTTCCTAACTTGGCCAAAAACCCAAGTACTTTCACTCCATATAGACGTAGACTTTGGGCGGAGACTTCGCAACCAAAAGACGAATCCTCTTCGGATACCACGTGAAAGTTGCGGTGAAAGTTTTGCGCCAAGGGACCCGGAGGTTTGAGGCATCGTTCCCTCTCAACATTTGCTTCACCAGCCCCGACCAATATTTTTCACGGCCGAAACTGTTGGATGGAAGCAACGGGTACAGTTCCCTGGTTCTCAGCACCGAAGGTCCACGATGTTATTGGCTGATTTTCTTTCAGACTTGTACCCAAATTTAAGTTCCAGGTTTGAAGAGAATGATTTTGTCGGCTTCCCTTTGGTTTCCAAACCGTTTTGGGGCGCCTGAAGTAAGCCCTCTTGGTGTTAGTAATCGCCATTCGACATTCGCGAGGGACCCAATGGCCAAATGGACAGAATCCACAAACCGGCTTCACCGGATGGGTTTGCTGGTTTATCAATCAGTGGTTTCATCTCAACTGCCTGGCGTTCATTTTGTGTAGTACCGGTGAAGACCAACAGGTGGGTGGCTCGTTTTTTTGTTGGATTTGGACCTGCCAAGAGGGTGAAACGGTTTTCCATTTGGTTTCCCTTTAGGGGACTCATTTCAACTGTCGTTCTTTTCAAAACTGGAGGTTCTCCCTAGGTTTCAGTTTTTCTAGAAAGGAGGATCCCTGGAAAGAATGGGGAAGCTACCCCTAGAAACAAACACCAAACAAGGGATACCCTCCCACCAACTAACATGGAACCTGACAGTTCGGGGGTCCCATGGTCTTTTCCCCTCCCCCCGCCCCGGTCAGGTTCCATGTAAATTCCTAGGTCCCCCAGTGCCCTTTAACCCTTTTTGGGGGAGGGTTCCCCTACTAGAATAGACAGAAAAGAGGGCACCCTTATTGTAACCTCTCTGCTGGAGGACCTAGATTCTGTGGGAGGGTATCTCCAAAGAAGCCGAGCCGTATGAGCATGGCTAGGGTCCCAGCTCCTTCATCTACCGCGAGCTTCTCAATGCCAAGGAGGTGCCGATCGATGCGCATCGTCAGAAATCGATCGCGACCCTTGGTGTCATTTTGGGTCCTTGCTGGACTTTTGGGGACTTTTTTGGGTTGGACCATTTTAGTGGGAAAAACATTGAAAAGTTTGGTTACTTGTTTTGCGCGGTGGTTTGCCTTTTCCACTGTTTGCGGTTGATAAGTAAGCATCCCCCCCTGGTAGTGTAGAAGCCCTTTTCAAGGGAGGCTGCTCATTTCAGTGGAAGAGGCAACCCCGTTGGTGTCCCCGCAATGTCCACCGTTTTTGTGAGGGGTATTATTTGTCAGGGATCGGTTTTTCAGTTCCAACGGAACTCCGCGGGTTAAAAGGGTGATCGCTTCATCGTTGTGCATCGCTTCGCAGAGCGGAGGGGTACTCAAATGGCAGGGTCTGCTGCTACCCCAGTTGGCCGTGTTTTGCTCATGACAGCCGAGGTGATGTCTATCCCAGGCGCCAAGCTGGAGGACCTTCACATGACTAGCCTGGCAAGTTGCTAAAAATTGCCCGCAACCCGAAAAGCAGCTTCCCAGACACCCAGTGGTTTATTCTTTTTTTGGGGAGGTGTCCCTTGAAAGTCGAGTACCAAAGAAGTGTACCATAGAAATCCAGTCAACTCCCAAACTATGACCTGGGAGTCATGTTTCCGTTGCTTGGTGGATTCCCTCAATGAGATACACCCCCCTCACGCCAAGGGCTAAACAGTTTTACGGCAAATTCGGTCGCAACATGTGCCCAATGTCCGGAGAGGAAGCAACAGGTGCATGCATGAAAGAGCTCAAGTCCGGCTCCCAGATCGGCAGATTCAGACCGGAAAGGGTTCGGAAGGGACCCGTTCCGTTCTGATCCCCGAAGGACACTGTTTCGCGAATCCGAGGTCAGAACCCATGTGTTGGCACCCATATCCTCAAATTGGTGAACCATTTTGTTTGAATCCGAAGGACCCCATGGCTTTCCGCAGAGGTCTATGATGGTTTTTGTTTACAAGCACGCGGGTCCCGTTCGCTCGGCCTTTCGCTCGGCCAAGGAAGCGTGGCGTGAAAGACTTGGTGGATTTCCGGAGAGTTCTCCAGGCCAGTGCCTGATTTAGGGGGCCCTTGGCACCAACATGGTAATGGTTCTTCCTGTTTCGTTTTGGGTGCCCTTGGAACAAAATGTGAAGCTTGGGTACCCTCAAAACCACCGAAAGGGCATCGTTTTCTTTTTGGGCTTCCTTTGAATAAAAGGTGAAATATGGGAAGCCTCTAATTAAACCACACATTGCAGAGCTTTTGGAGACCTCAGCTGGGCAAATTTCAATGAGCTCAACGAGCTCACCGATGAAGGTCTTGTTATAGCGGATTCTTTTTCGAGCTGTGGGGGATTATAGTAATTTGTCTGCTGTGCATGTGAATTGAAGAGGCAGACTGACAGATGGAGCTCTGATACTTGAACATCCACATGTACAAGTCATCTTAGGCATTGCAGATCATTGTACGGTGCCAAAAGTCAATGGAGTTTTGGCTGCTGCTCATTTGACGGCATTCGGGCGATAGACAGGCTGCGTTGCTTGGATTGCAGAAGCAGACGGGCTGCTACAGTCAAGAAGTATCCTCGCAGACCGTGGTAGTTGGCGCCGTTTAGCTTTGTGGGGAAGTTTCCCCTGCCTTTTGTGCGGAAACAAGTACATTGTCTCCAGGCTTAGGAATTTTGAAATGACAGTTGTGCAACACTTGGATGCTCATGCCTAACATCCTCTGCATGCCCTGCATCCCTTGCTATCCTTCTCCTTTGTATTTTTTGCATCACCAGCATCTCCAGCATCCGTTGCATGATCTATCGCTCGCAGCTTTGGCATCCTCTCCAATCCCCAGGGGCCGAAACAGGGGCCGAAACAGGGGGGGCCCCAATTGAAGACACACTTTTGCTCAGTCTGAAGGCCCGGACGATGGGTTTTCAACGGCAGTGCCAAAAACACCAACAGGAGAAAGACAGACATCAACAATGGGCCAGCAGGGCAGGGTACAGTCACTCCTTGGTTCCGAGCTGCATTTATCAATGTATTGCAGCATCCCCTGCATCGAATTCTGGTTCAGCACCTACAATTTTGGCTATGGGGATGCTGGTAATGCTGGGGATGTGTGTGACAACATATGCTAGAGATGCTGGCAATGCAAGGAATGCAGAGGATGCTGTTTTTTAAGCATCCCGGGTTAACACCCACAGTTTCTTCAGTGGTATGACTGGCAATGCAAGGAATGCAGAGGATGATGATGTTTAACCATCCCGGGTTCGTCAAAAACAGTTACACCCGCAGTTTCTTCAGTGGCATGGTTTCAATGTCTTGGGTAAGATAGAGCTTCAGAAACTAGAAAGCTTCCCTTTTTTGCTTTTAGTTGATTTCTCACCAAATATGACACCCCTCAACACAATAACATATTGAGAGGAAGTGATATAAATATATTTATTGCTATGAGACCTTACTTCCAGTCCAACAGTAAATTTATGAAAAATCCTGCGTTGAAAAAGAAATAGACGCCTTCCATTCGCAAAGATGAACATGAGATAAACATATTAAGAACCCAACATGAATTTGATGTAACTTTGTAATGATTCCCGAAACAAATCAATTCTAAAAGTACCATACTGACTCATAAATAACAGAATATACATACGTTTGCGTCTTTTGTTTTAAACAATTGAGACTCGCTCGTAAAATGACTAGAACGATAAATGATACTTGTTTCTGTAAAATGCCCATGATCCACTTGCAGATCATATCATATTCTAAAGTCTACAACGAGTATGCTGAAGATGATTAATAGCAAGAGCTAAAGCAACAATAAGGTCAGATGTTGATTGGTTTCTTTTCTTTTTGCATTCCTTTACATTTCTTGATTTTTGTCCAAATGGTTGCACTCGCGGCAACCAGCCATCTCACTCTTTCCCATTCGCTTGTCTCATTGATCTTTGTTTACCCCATGTGTCGAACCTTTTGTTGTGAGAGGCGCACATAAGATCGGGAAGAACCGGCGAGCTCTGATTCTCAAAGAGCCCGTCGTTACGCTGACGAAGATTTAGACCTACGAGATGAAGCACGGGAATCCAACTCACTTTTATGGACGCCCAAAAAAGCAGGATGGGTGTCTTAATCCGCGACTCCCACAGGCACGTCATGGCGACTGGATTCTCTCATGTTTTCACGTGCTAAGATTCCAGTTACCCTGGACGCCCTTTTACATGAGATCAGACTCTGGGAGCTTCACTGAGAGTGTCTACGGTTTTCGAGCGATTCCAGCGATCCAATGCCTTCCCAGCTTTGGATCAATTTGCAGATCTCTGCCTGCCTTTTCGGGCAGCTTGAAGCGCTAGGCTGAAGATGGGGTCAAGCTCATCGATCTTCTGACGGAGGAGCTGAGCTAAAGAGCGGAGCCGTACTTTTTGGGTCATGTTCCAGATGAATCCACCCCAGTTAATTTCTTCTGTGGATGGACAAAATCTGCACGACCTTGAAACCATGAGAAACCAGTGTTTGTTGGAATCATCAGCCCAGGGTTTCTTAGGTGCGAAACAGTATGGGTGCGTGGCAGTGGCTCCCCTTGCTACCGGCTCTGAATGCAAGTACAGGCTACACACCGGTTTCCTCTTGGGGTAGTGTTTGAGGGTTGTGGAAAAACCATCTCAGACTTTGATTGATGCATCGCATTCAGAGCTGTAGCGAGGGGAGCCCCTCCAGCCGAATGGTGTCTACCAGTGATTCTTAGGGGTTATGAAAACAGGGGGCACCCGGGAAAAAATAATGGACGGCTGCAGCAAGAGTTTGGGGTGCAACACACCGCACACAACACGCAACACGCAACACAGCACACACACACAACACACCACACCACACAGCACAACACACAACACAACACACAACACAACACACAACGCAACACACACACACACACCATACACAAACACAACACACCATGCACAACACAGGCACACAACACACAGCACATACACAACACGGGCAACCCACAATGCGCAACACACACAACACAAATCAAATCAAAGCACCACACAAAACAAGACAACACAACACAACACGTCACATCACAGCACAACACACCAAACACAACATTGGCAAGACTAACATGATGTATTGGTGGTGGTGGTGGTGGTGGTGGTGGTGGTGGTGGTGGTGGTGGTGGTGGTGGTGGTGGTGGTGGTGGTGGTGGTGGCATGGGCAGTTTGCTGAGTACTGTTTCTCTTGGAGTACCATAACCTTTTTCCAGTTTCTTTCTGCAAATTGTGCCGACCAGGTCTTTGGCGCAACCGGCGGAGTTTGTCGCCCTTTGTTTGAGCGTCCTAGTATTATATAATCCCTAGCATGAACCTCAGGGTCAAGAACACCAATTGGAAGTGGGCCATTTTTGTTCCTGGGTTGTACAGGAGTCCTTGTATTTCCATTTTTGGCTGATTTAACCATCACCTTTCGGTTTGCATGAGTGAGCGAGTTTCCCTTCCGTGGGGTGGGTGCTAAATGGCCTATATTCTTTAGTTCGCAAGACCGGCATTGTTCCAGACCTATTGCTCGTATGATACTGTGGATAGACGAAATCCATTTCGCACCACCGTTTAGAAACCCAGCATTCCCCTGTAGATACCAACCAACAGGGAGCCCTGTCCGTGGGTCAAAACCGTTTTGGGATCCCATTTTGGTTGGGATTGGTGAATTCACCACCCATTTTAGAGTCAGCCTATTTTAGTGGTTGGATTGAATCGGATGTTCACGGGGGCTTTTTGGCGGTTTTACGGGAAACCAAAAGGAGTGGGCCCCTTTTTCTGGTACGGGCTTGGGATTTTGACCCATCTCAGACGGTGCTGGAGATCCTGGGGAACACCAATGCTGCCCCTGCGCGGCCTCTGGCGGTCTCTGCCTGAAGCCCAGAAAACCGCGCCGAACAAACGGCCCATTTTCTTGTAGCAGGTGGCTCGGTTTCTGCCTCTTTTCGGGGAAGAAATCTCGGTGGCTCTCAGCCATCCGGTTCCTTAGCTTTTTAGCCTTTTAGTGTTTAGTGGTAGTTTTCATTTAACCCACTAAAAGTTAAACTTTTGGCGGGGGATCTGAGGGCAGCCCAGAAAAGTACGGCCTATGTGAACTCACTTGACCAAAGGCGATCCTCTATTCTTTTGGTTTCCGTGATTGCGTCCATGTTTAGTCAAGGTTCCAACAGGTTAACCTTTCATTTCCAGGTCCTTTGGGCAAGTGAGCAAAGCTTTAGACCGCATGCAGACTGAGGTCGGTCTTTTTCGGAGTTGGTACCCGTTTTGGTCGCTGTTTGGGCGGGGAAACCAAAGGGAAACTAACCAGTTTGGAGGTTTTCTCATATGAGGTCTATTAGACACCCCAAAGTCATACTGGTTGAGTTGTTGAGGCCAACTGTTTTGTTGCCGTGTTTTGTATACTAGAGGGTGTCAACCCCCAACCTGGTTTTGGGGTGGTACGACTCACATAAGGGCAAAAGGAGTTGCAAGGGAACGTGAGACTCCAATTGGTTCACGTCAGTGCCTGAAAGACGGCCATTTTTTTGCTTGCAGCTTGGGATGTGCTGCAACCCCGTAAAAACCAAAAAGTGGGAATTTCCTTCAGTGCCCTTTGATGAGTTGGCTGCAACCTCCTTTCTTTTTCTGCAGAACAGCAACTTGTCTGTCTTTATTTTTTGGACAAATCAAGAACGTTTGGGCCAGAATCTAAAAATCTGGAATTTGAGCCAGACATTTGGGCCTAACGTATGGGGCCAGTGCCCTAGAGCTCGACCGGCCTTTTTCCAGATGTGGCACCTCCGAAAGCGAGACGACGATTTGGTCGCGTGCTGCCGGCCGCACTTTTTGGACTCGAAGACGTCCATGCCGTTTGCCTGGGGTGGGGGTGTCCAAGAATGTGGGGCAATGCAATAGAAAAACACCGGGTCACCCCCCCCAGGCGCGATTTCAAAAAGAAAGCACCGGGGGTGGGCGGCCCTCACCGGCTCTTCCAACAATCATGGGCGACGGGCGGAGGGTTTTCCTCACTTCCTGAGTTCCTGGACTCTCCTCACTTTTTGGTTTGGACCATTTTAGTGGTACACAAATTAAGCGCTTGTATTTTTTGCGGCCCATCCACTCAGTTTGGTTAGCTTTTTTTTTGCCATCCACTCGCTCGCACGTGAGCTTGGCCGATTCAAACACCGAGCTTCGCCGCGCCAGGCTGGAGCGAAACCTGTTGAAGCAGGCGGAGGTTTCGGGAGCTCCAGTTGGGTTTGGGTCAAAATTAAACCACCAGGGGATGGCAGGTTTTAGTCCTTGGTTCCATTTACCAGGGCTCCATCTGGGGTACCTATTTTTGACCCACAGCTATTTGGCTATTTTTTTCATTTCTTTTCCAAGGGTGGTGGGTCAAAACCAATGGGTGTGGGTCAAAGATCGTATGGCTGTGGTTGTCAAAGCCATTTTGGGATCCCGTTTTGGTTGGTAGGTGAATTCACCCATTTTGGTCTACCTATTTGAGTGGTTGGATTGAATCGGATGTTCACTGGGGGTACGATTTGGCTTTTGCCCCCTGGCCATGTCTTGTTTCCCAAGGGGTCGGAAGTTTGTGGCGGGCAACCTGCCACAGTGGAAACACACAAACTCGGGAAATCGGCGAAAATCGGAGACTTGGGTTCTTTGGACTCGCAACATCGTGAGCTTCAGCAAGTGAGCGGCGACATTCGAGATCCCCGAACTTGGCGGTTCCCAGCCGTCGGGTCCCCTGGAGTTCCAGCCGTTGGTTTCGTGTTTGAGTTTCCATTCCTGCAAAAAGATCATACTGTGGATCCGTTCGCACCACGAAATGAAGTCATGGTTGAAACCATTGTTTGTTGATATTTTACATGGTTGAATTCATTGTTTGTTGAGATTTTACAGGGGCATCATCAGAAACCGGGGTTTCTTAGGTGGTGCGAAATGGATTTTGCAACCATCCACAGTATCTTTTTTGAATCACTTTGAAACAACCTCTAAATGGATACCCCTCAAAAGCCCATGGCCATATTTTTTTCCAAGATCTGAGGACAGACAAAAGTGCCATCGCTCCCAGGCGACGGTGAAGACTGCTGACCACCTGCTCTTGGAGCGGCTCCTAGACAAGGCGAAGGGCTTGAAACGGGAACTCCATATGGGTTCCCTAGAAAAGGCATTGTCTTTTGGGTAGAGGGTGCCATTTTTTTATTTTTTTTTTGGGGGGGGGTTTGAGGAGAAACCAACAAGACACCACTCAAAAATAGGGGAGCCCCTACTTTGACTGCCATCTGCTCTTACTTTTGGTTCCCTAGTGATTTTTCTTGGGAGCCTCGCATGGCACTGGTTGACCTGCAGGGGTTTCCATGTATGGGTTTTCAAACTGGTCCCAATACTTCCCGCAGGTTTTACACATCGCCGGTTTTTCGGGGCCAGGGAGTAAAGTCGCTTTGGGGTGCTTTCCGGGAGCCCTGTCTGAACTTCAGCCGGCCAGTCTTCCAGTACCTCAGAGGATCCTCGCGACGAAACTGGGTGCTGAATTCGCCATGCTTTCAGCCAGTTGGCCCGACTCTAGCAAAAATGGGGGCTGCTTCAAAGCTAAAAAACCGAACGGACGGGAACCACTTGCGCCGTATTGTCCGGGCTCGGATTGCCTGGTTTCCTTGGGTCCATCGTCGCCTCATGGGAAGGCTCCAAACGTCAGCTCGGGTTGGTGGCGCTCACTTGGAAGAAGGTGACCGCGGATTTCCACTCCAGCGAACGTATTCCTTTTGGTCGGGGCTCAGCACATACGTTGGGCCTCCGTTTGCTTAAGATAATCTTCTATTTTCCCTTGTTGGTCTTAACAGGAGTTCATCACTGGAAGGTATTTGTGTTTTTTCCTGGGGCCTTCACCAAATGGAAGTGGGGGTCAAAATTAAACTGGAGGGGTTACGCAGGTTTTGGTCCATGTTTCCACTTACCAGGGCAACCCATTTTGGTACCGCTTTTTGAGCCACACCCAAATGGAAGTGGGGGTCAACACAACAGGGCCCCCTTTGGTTCGTTTCTTTGCCCCCAGCTTCCTTCGTGGCCAGAGCGCGGAGCTGCTGGCTCCGCTGGAGGCGCGGCGCGGCTTTTTGGGTTTTTGGAGTGATGTGGGTCTCGCTTTGGACATCATGCCCTTGTGTTTTTTTTTTCTCCCCCGTTTTTTTTTTTTTTTTTTTTCCTTTTTTTTTTTCGGGGTTGACGCCTCCAAGAGGATGTGGGGTGCTGATATAGGGGAGCCGCCACATTTTTTTTCATGTTGTTTGGGTGCTTGCCGTCCTGGATCGCCGACGTGTAACTTGTTCACCGGGGGACCGAGCTCTCTGATGCTACTTTGTGTATGCATCAGAGAGGAGAGCTTTTTCTGCCCAGGGATGCGTACCTGCAACCACTTTGACATGTCATGTGTTCCTGCAATTGCGTCAAGCATGATTTTTCCTTGGGTAGCCTCACTCCACAAGTGTAAGAGTGTGTGTGTGTGTGTGTGTGTGTTTGTATGCTTTTGAGGGGGACTCTTTCGCGGTTGATTTATGGGAACCCATGACAAACCGTTTGTTTCGAGGGTTCTTTTGTAAGACAAACCTATTGGCTGCCCCTGTTGGAGGCTAGGGATAGTGATCAGCCCACTTGTTTTTCTTTTTTTTCCACAAGGGATCCAACCTGCTTGCTGAAGTACGTTTGAGCCACTACTGTTTTAAACAACCTCGTGTTGGTTTTCCTGTGGTTGACGCCCCATTTGCTCAACAAACTGCTCCGACCTCGGCCTACAATAACGAACTTTGGACCATGGTGTATGTGAGTCGTTGCGAGTTCGCCATATGTGCACTGAGCAAAGATCCTTCCTTTTGGCTCAACGCCACAGCTGCTCTTGCCTTCTCAGCAATCGCCAGCATTCTGAACAGCTTCGGGGATCTCCGGCGAGCTTTTATTCCAAAACAACACGACAACCTCGGCATTTGTATCTTTGGGGCTCCTCCAAACCTGGCGTTTTGCAGAACACCATCCATATCTCGGTGAAGCGAACTCAGCTCAGACAGGTCCTTGGTCCTATGTAGGGGCTACTTCTTTTCCATTTGCCAGCCCCGCCTTTGGCAACCGGAAGTTCACACCCTAGAATTAAAACCACCACGATGACAAGGCCCGGGTTTTCAAACAACCACCATTTACCGTTCGGGAGTCTCACAGACACACAAACCACGCCCCAAACCCAACCCCCAAACCCAGCCCCAGTCCCACAAATTGGGCTCTTGGATTGGTGGTTGGGGCATTGAACGGATCCCTGGCTTTTGCAGAAGAAGGTCAATGGGAAACCCCTCCTAAGCCACCAAGCTACCGATTCGGCTCCAGGTTTCTTGCCGTTTTCTAGGAATCGGGTCCCAACTGCAAGGCCATGCGCCTCCAAGCAGTGGACAGGGCTCTGCTGGCGCCGCTGGGGGACCCTCCCAAGGCCCGACGGGTGCCCGGGCCGGGGTTTTCCGGCGGCTGGAGGAGGGTGGTCAACGGATTGACCTCGGGTACCGGCTCTCGGGTCGGACCATTCGCTGGGAACTCTTGGGTCATTTTTTTTGGGAAATGCCAGGTGCCGGGGAAGCAAGTGGATTTTGAGACCATCGCTCACGACATGGTAGCAAGTGGGATGACTGGGGCCTGACTTGTGAGCATTGTCATGACCTACTTACTAAGGCTAAACGCCCAAGCATCGACTTTTGTTGGTTGAATCCTCCCCAAGGAAGGTGAGGTGGACACAAGATTGCTGGCTGGCAAGAGGGAAATATAGACCGCCCTGTCCACAGTTTCGATGGGCTTCATGAACAAATCCGTTTGCTATGGAACGGGTGGATGTAAAAGCTCACGTGACCACCGCAAAACGCACTGGAATTTCGGAACTTGGGCCTCAACATAGCAACACTGAGGTTTAGCATGTATCCTTTCAATATGGCTGTGGTTGTCAAAACCGTTTTGGGATCCCATTTTGGTTGGGATTGGTGAGTTCACCACCCATTTTAGAGCCAGCCTATTTGAGTGGTTGGATTGAATCGGATGTTCACTGGGGGTACGATTTGGCTTTTTGGATTTTAGGGTTTTGAGCCATCTGCCAGGAGATCCGTTTGGAGATCCGGGGGTGGCTTCCGTGAGCCAGGCTCCGCCCCCGCGGCCGGAGCCCCGGAGCCTCGGAGCCGGCCATGGAGTCGGAGGATCGGAGCGTCCAAGGGTTGGGATCTTCCGGCCGCCGAAGTGGCTTGGTGGCTTGGTGGCCAAATCGGTGGCTGCGGCGTGGGGTTTCAGGTTGGTGGTTTTGTGGCTTGGACCTTGAAAATACCTTCATTTGGTTTCCAGAAAAGGGCTCTTCCAGCCTTTCTCAGGGCTATGTTGGTGAGAAAGTAGATGGGGCCACTAACTTAGACCGACTTAGACTGACCATTTGCCAGGGAGATCCGGTGATATTTTAACCAAAGGGTCACCTATGGACCGGAGGTGTAGGAGATTGGTTTCTCATTTAATCCCCTTTGGAGTCCCACGCATTGGGTTGTTTGGAGGGGTTCGGGCTGGTTTGGGCCCCTTCTTGAGGAGGCATGGAAAATCGCCCAACCTCCACCAAACCACCGATTCGGCAACAAAACCGCCAATTCTTTTTAAGGGAAGCTGGGAGTTTGCATCAATCGCTTAAGCCCTGGGTGTTCAACCTGGTAGCTGGACTTAGTCCCTCATTTTTCGGGCTTCATCGCTCAGAGTTGTGATTCGAGGGCCGCATGAATCTTTGCTTCCCAGCACAATGGCAGGCACGTGAGCAATGCCAGTCCTACTTGTCGTGTTTCCGTCCGTTCTCCGCGGACGGACATCATGATTCCAGGCTCGTGGGTGTTCCACGAAGAATAACCCCGAAATGGTGAGTTGGGATTTCACGCACGACCAGCCGCTCGGGCGTAAGGATTGCGTCATCTTCCTATATATGTATATATATATATATATATATTGTTTGATCCTTTAAGGGTTCCTCTTAAAGCAATCATGGCCATAGGTGTCCTTTTGATCGATGCGTTTAGTTCGACCTGGATGGGTTCCTAAACCATTTACGAGGGAAATCCATCTATGTCTAGGCAAAAGGTCACCTACTGCGGATTGACGAAATCCTGCACCACGGTTTCTCATGGTGTCCAAGTGGTGCAGGATTTCGTCCCCTCACCGACTCGGAGTTGTGGCGAGCGATCGTCCCGACTTTGGGGCTCGTGGCGCGACACCGACAGCGATTCCGCGCTGAGGAACGCCAACTCCGAGGTGTTGAAACTGGAGGCGCGGGCTGGACGAGCCCAGGGAACCGCCATTTTGTCCGAGCAGCTGGAGGCTTTGAGGTCGATAGGAGTTCGGATTTCTGGAGTTCGGAGTAGCTGTGTGTTTTATTGTTTTTGCTCCCTTCATTGTTTCCCTTTCCACCGGCAAGTGGTACATGTTTGGGAAGGATGCGTGACAGACGGCCCCTTTGAAGCAATTGCCTTTTTTCTTTGGGAGGGGGGAGGGCTTCAGTCAAGGCAAGCGGGTATGTAGAATTGCTCAGGCAAGACGGAGTTCCCCTCTTTTCTCTGGTAGCTTGTGGTTCAAACCTCCCCCACAACCTCCCCAAACCTGCCCCAAACCTGCCCCAAACCTGCCCCTAACCTTCCCCAAACCTCCTCCTAACCTCCAAAACCTCCCCCAAACCTCCTCCCCTGACCTCCCGTAACCTCCCCCTAAACCCCCAAACCTTCCCCCAACCTCCCCTCCCCTCCAAACCTTTTGTTGGTCCCCCCACCTGTTGGCCAGGAGGAAGAAGAGGCCAAGGAGGATGAGGAGATCAAGAAACGCCGGGTTGGTCGGGCACGGTCTCTTACCCCCCAATTTTTTGGGGAAGCCATTCCTCTTTGTGGAATTGTACAAGCTCTAATACTATATATGTATATACACATACAAAGAACACACATATCTGTATGTATGTATATATATATATATATATATATATGTATCCATATATATATATAGCTTTGTTGGTATTCTTGCCCAGAAAGGCCAAACTCTGCGCACCCGCAGCACTCCTCCAGGACGACGTGGGCGATCTCGCAGAGGAGCCATGGAGTATGGACGAAATCCGCGAGTCTCGCGGTATCCACTGTTCGGAAACCCTGGTTTCTGAAGATTCCCCCGCAAATACTGTGGATGGACGAAATTTTGCCTAAGAAACCCTGTCATCATGATGCCCCTGTAAATACCAACAAAAAAATGGTTTCACATGGTGTCAACGTGGTGCAGGAATTCGTCCATCCACAGTATCATCCAGCAAGGGTTTCAACCACGGTTTCAAAGTGGTGCAAGATCGAGTTCGTCCGTCTACAATATTACTGGTCTGTTGTTCGTTTGAACCATTTGGAGGGGACGAGAAGGGGGCCCATCCAATATCCCATTCTCACAAAAAGAAGGGGGCCGACAAAAAGAAGTGCGGCTTGTTTTTGAGGAGGTTTCCTAATAGGTATCTTTTTTAAAAAGACACATCCAAGTCAACCACGAGGTTTGAGATTTCTTGTTGGCGGACATGGTTGGTCGGAGGGGCTCGTCTCGGGAGTTTCGGATCGAGATTTCTGGTCGTCTGAGAACAGCGGCTTGGGCATGGAGACATGTCCGCGGTGACCGTTATATATACCCTCCCATCCACCTAACCTTGGTGGGAGACCCAGCCTTCCGGTTCCTTAGCTTAGATCCTTTTAGTGTTTAGTGGTTGGATTTCCATTTAACCTACTAAAAGTTGGGTCACTTTTAGAAGGGATCTGAGGACAGCACACTAACATGGAACTTGGCTGAGTCCTTGGAAGACGATTTTCCTTTTCAAGGGGACCTCTGGTGGGTTCCATGTTAGTGGAGGAGGGCAACTTTGTGTTTTGGGGTCCTTCATTTTTTCCCTTTCAACCAGGGGGTCTGGGAAAGATCCCATAGGTTTGGGTAGGAAATCGACCTGGACTCTTGGTTTCCCAATGGTTTGGTCCAATTTTCGTCAAGGCTCCAAAGCTCGTCATCTTTCATTTCCAGGTCCTCTGGGTCAAGTGAGCCACTCACTTTCCCAGTCTTGATTGAGTCATGGTTGTTGTTGGGAAACAATTTGCATTTTGCTTATTGTGGCTTAGTGGGAAACCCAACCACTTAACTGCTAAAATTTGATTTTTTGCTCCCCTTCCAACGTCAACCAAGGAGTGACTCGCGCCTGCGAGTCCGCATGTGCGAGTGACGAGCTTGAAGGTTCATGTTGGCAGCCTCAGGCTTCCAGCGTAAGCTGAAGGGTCAGCGGGCCATGAGAGATGAGCACCTCCCCGTTTCCAAAGAAAGCGGCGGCACTTGTTTCAGCCAGAAGGTAAACATCCGCGTGTATCCTGAGGATGTGGGACACATGGTCCCGAACCGACTTTGGGTTGAAGACACAAACAGTAGCAACTGACGGGCATGAACATTTGCAATCTACCAGCATGTTTGAGGGGTGTTGGGTGGGGAATGCCTCGGCTTGTTGGACCGCAGTTGCAACCGCTTGGCCTTTGCCAGGCTTTTTTGGTCACACGCAGCACTCTTTGGGGATTGAACAGGTGGAGGCACACCCGTCTTTTCCGATCCCTTAAAGAGAAGCCAACCATTCTTTGCAGCCAGTCAGCCCACATCGGGCCACAGCCATGTCTGCGAAACAGGTCCGAAAGCTTCAGGCGCTCCGACAGACGGAAAACTGCGATGAGGAGTCGGAAGAGTCGGAGGAGAAGCCGATGAAGGAAGGGGTGCTCATCGGATGTGGCCAAATTCCCAACTGGCTGTGGATCAAAACCAATGGGATCCCATTTTGGGGTTGGTGAATTCACCCCACCCATTTTAGAACCTATTTTAGTGGGGATTGAATCGGATGTTCACTGGGGGCTAACCGATTTGGATTTTGAGCCATGGCCAACTGGTCCCCAAAGTCGTGGGTCTTCCTGTTTGGTTTCTCAGGGCTCCTTAAAATATCTCCATTTTGCAACCATTTGAAACATGTTGCTTTTTCCACCAAAGTAAGGGGAAACCACCATTTACAAGTTGCAATGTTCAGGTGTATAATGTAAGGATCCCTGTTTCTCTTTACGGGTAGCTTCAAAAACATGCCGCTAACAAGAACCCACCGGGGCCAACACTAAGCTGTACTATTCACAGCCCCTCATGTTGCGGAGAGGGCCTCACATTTGTTCCCGTTGTCGAATCAAACAGCAGCTTTTGATCGCCAGTTTATGAGTTTCCTTTTGGCGTGATAGGGGACATATAAGCAACCCTAGCGTTGGGGTGTGCCTTTTCATCCGACCCAACACGCGTAATACAAGGGGCAAAACAATGGCTAGTAGTTTAGTCCGACAATCATGCCTACCCTCTACTCCACATACCCGCTTGTCTTGAGGGCATTTTGTGGACAACCAACGGTTTTCCCGGGTAAAAATTCGAATCCTTTTTTCGTCAAGGGTTGACATAGCCTTCACTAAGTGGGCGGCCCCAAACCTTTTGGTTGATTTTAAAGGGACACCCCAAAAAATGCTCTTCATTCCTCTTCAGAAAACCAAACCTTTTTGGTTGTAAAGGGAACCACAAAGACACCGCTTTTTCTTGTTTTTTTTGGGGGGGTCCCTCCCCTTCAGAAAACCGTCACTCACACGCACGTGGCTCGCCCCAAACACCGCAGCCAGGGGAAGGTCTCCACCTTCGCTGCCCTCCTCGGAGAGGAGTCGGAGGAGGACGCGGAGCCGAAGCTGAACACGGCGGGGCCCGAAGCCGAGCCGAAGCCGGGGCCTGCGAAGAAGAAGAAGCGACTCGGAGGCATTTTTTCTGGGCGTTTTTGGGGCTCGAGTTTTTGGGTGTTTTTCTCTGTAAAAATGGGGTTGCGACTTCAATGGAAACAGTCTTTTGCCGCGTGTTTTTCTTCTTCTTCTCTCCATCTGTTTTTTCCCCGAAAGCATCGCGAAGGGTTCTTCCGCGCGGAGCTCTCGGACCAACTTGCATAGAGTCACTTGCGCAGAGTCAAATACATGGAGCCAAGTGCATGGAGCCAAGTGCATAGAGCCGTGCATAGAGCCGAGTGCACAGAGCCGAGTGCATAGAGCCGAGTGCATAGAGCCAAGTGCATAGAGCCAAGTGCATAGAGCCAAGTGCATAGAGCCAAGTGCATAGAGCCGAGTGCACAGAGCCGAGTGCATAGAGCCGAGTGCATAGAGCCAAGTGCATAGAGCGAAGTGCATAGAGCCCATACAGCCAAGTGCATAGAGCCGAGTGCGCAGAGCCGAGTGCATAGAGCCGAGTGCATAGAGCCGAGTGCATAGAGCCGAGTGCATAGAGCCGAGTGCATAGAGCCGAGTGCATAGAGCCAAGTGCATAGAGCCACGTGCATAGCTTCGGCGTTAGCCGCTATGTAAGTTAAGTTTAGCTTTCTAGGGCGCCGGGGCAGGACTTTGATCGTTGATCGGGTTTGCGACCCTCTGCGGGGATCGGCGTGGTCGAAACTCGAGTATTTTGTGCGATTTCTGATCTGCCCACGCGACCCTTTGCGAAGATCGGCGTGGTCGAGGTACAAAAACTCGAGGTTTTTTGCGATTCTTGCGGTGCGAAAATGAACCCTTTGCGGGGATCGGCGTGGTCGAGGTGCAAAAACTCGAGGTTTTTTGCGATTTTTGATCTGCCCGCGCGACCCTCTGCGATCGGCGTGGTCGAGGTGCAAAAACTCGAGGTTTTTTTTGCGATTTCTGATCTGCCCGCGCGACCCTCTGCGATTGGAGTGGTCGAGGTGCAAAAACTCGAGGTTTTCTGCGTTTTTGCGGTGCCCGCGCGACCCTCTGTGGGGATCCGCGTGGTCGAGGTGCAAAAACTCGAGAGTTTTTGCGTTTTTGTGGTGCGCTGATGAACCCTCTGTGGGGATCGTGCGTGTCGACGTGCTCTCGCTGTGGCGCCGTGGAATTCGTCTTAGTCTCGGCGAACCGTCCAAGCGCTCTCGCTGTGGCGCCGTGAGATTTTATTGCTCGCGAAATGGCCTTTTGAAGTTGTCTCGTGGTTTGCGCGCCTGCTTTCTAAGTACGAAAGTAGTACGCAAAGTAAACTTTCGCAGCTCCGGCGCAACTTTTGAGCGCGACGTACACTTTCGCAGCTCCGGCTGGAAAATCGCAACTTTTCAGTACCAAAGTAGCACGTGACGCAAGCTTTCGCAGCTCCGGCTGGAAAATCGCAACTTCTAAGTACGAAAGTAGTACGCGAAGTAAACTTTCGCTGCTCCGGCTGGAATATCGCAACTTTTGGCACGCGAAGTATACTTTCGCAGCTCCGGCTGGAAAATCGCAACTTTTAAGTACGAAAGTGTTTCGCGAATAGAGGAAACTTGTTCAGAGCAACTTGCTGAGAGAACTTGCTTGGAGAACTTGCTCAGAGGAAATCGCGCCGACAACTTGCTCAGAGCAACTTGCACAGAGAACTTGCTTGGAGAACTTGCTCAGAGGAACTCGCGCCAACAACTTGCTCAGAGCAACTTGCACAGAGAACTTGCTTGAAGAACTTGCTCAGAGGAACTCGCGCCAACAACTTGCTCAGACGCGCAACTGCGCGGAGAACTGGCTAGGATTGCTAGGAGAACTTGCTGCCGCTGCTAATGCTTTCGGGCCACCCATCTTCTAGCTTTCATTTTTCTCATTTTTTTTCCTTTTCGGGGGGCTGGCGTTTGTGGGAGCTCGAGTTTTTTGGTGGCTCACAAAGCCATCCGGTTCCTTAGCTTTTAGATCCTTTTGGTGTTTAGTGGGCCCTAACCTCCATGGAACCAACTCAAAGGTTAGTCACTTTTTAGCGGGGGATCTGAGGACAGCCCAGAGTTTTGGTGCTTTTGCTTTTTCTGAAAATGGGCAAGTCCCGCCGAAAGTGAGCTGGTTGCGACTTCCTTGGAAACCGTTGGGCAAAAAAGGGATCAGGTGTTTTGGGATAGCTTCTGGTGTCAATGTCCGGCCTGTTCAGAGCATAGTCTACGTGTCATGTGGGAGAGACATGGCTGGAATCACCAAGTTTCCACACAAAGCAGGGACCCGCTTGTTCTTCCATGTCCTTG